CGAAGACCGATAAGAAGACCACCCAAGAGATGGTATAAAAATTGAAGCTCATCGTCACAGGAAAAGCCCCGAAAGAGGCAAAACGAGAAGAAGAAGAAGAATATACAAATGACAATTAAATTAAATTAAATCAATTGGGTTTATAAACAATTAGAAAAACGCATGATTATTTTAATACGTGTGTTCGTCAGTGAACCGCGTACCAGAAAGTGCCGTTGTCAACACAATTAAAAGATTAATACAATATGACTTCAAAAATATTAGAGGTTGAAGTGACGTTACAACACCCATACATATCAGCTCAAGTTTGCAAATTTTGACTAATTTAACCCAATGAAACAATTCAACGTTTCTCCCATACTTAAATTAAAGTAAAACCATACATTGAACGTCAAATCTAAATCAATAGAAAAACAGTTGATTGCATGAAACCCCACGTGTCGATGATATTGAAGGGAAGTATTATTGTTGCATTTAATGCACTGAACGCTAATACGAATATTCGAAATTTATTGCCGCATCCGGGGCAGTTGGTTTAATGGCGTTGTAAACGCTGACGACTGCTAAGTGGAGATATGATATTGAACTGCCGACTTATTTCTCTATATTGCCCTATCGCCTATTCCTACTGCTATAAATCAGCTTCGCTTTCATGGCATTCTATAACGGGCAAGTAGCATTTCGAAAATTCCTATTCCACTTTAATTGCAATTTTCCATCGTGGATCTCTTATTGCTAAATGGGTAGCAAATTTGTCGAATTTGTGTGAGTAATTATTAGTACAGTTAGAGTTAAAGACACATTCAAATTTAAGAGTAAGTATGCACAGTTCATGGAATGAATCAAACTGTAGATTATTATAATTATTAACACGTTTCAAACACAATATAGATTATGCCTAAAATGCTGAACTATCAGAATTTGCGAGCGTGTGCTTCTGTGGCTTCCATAGATATAGTAACGGATATCACAATATAGATATAAGGTAAATACATAAAATAGCGAAAAAAAAATACAAACAAGCTATCATTAAACATTACACAGACTATTATTAGACGTTCTATTATTTTTTTTATTTATTTTTTTTATATATGTATTTTTATTGGGTATTTGTTCAATTCGTGCCTTCAATTGTATTTTTGATCGGTAAGTAAACTAATTAATTATATTTTTAACCACTGTATTCAGTATTACGTGTGTTTGTTCATGTAAGCCACAAGATGAATGAAGTACAATTTGTCTCGGAAATATGTACAGATTTGCATATCAAATTCTTAGTAGTAGACAGTAGTCAAGAGTATAGCGTAATATTACAATGTAAACTAGAGGAAAGCCAGTAACCTGAAGAAAACTGTGATTTTTGGATCAGAAAGTTTTCTACATCCACCAACAATAACTGGATAACAAAGATTCGTTTCTCCAACCTACAGACTCATATATCTCAAACAATATTTGCCTGCCAGCATTAAAAATCAAATAAAGTTACTAAACGAAAAAGACAAGATTGTAGAGATAGGAATGGAAAGCTACAATCTAATTTAAGCTTAAAAAGATTAATCGTGCCACAATCAGAAATGATTCTTTACTTAAGAATATTATAAATCTGATAGTAAAAATAAATGTTTGTCATTCTCACAAAATTCACGTAGCAGAAGCGTATCTGCGTTTAAATTCCGACACTTCAGAGATTTTTAAATCATATTTCCAGTCCGGAATGAGACCACCTTCAGTCAAAATGTATAATAAAATGAAATTACTAGAATAAGGTGAGAACAAACCATTATCCATACTTGCCAATGCCGGGTCTAATCCAACAGAAAAACAAATTTAATGTTTATATGATGAATGGAAAACATCAGAATATGGTGGTGGTAAAGAAAAAAAGTGTAATCGAGATAGTGCGACATAAAATGGGTTGGAATCCAGGAAAATGGCCTGGAGTTGTTAATCCGTGCAAATCCAATGTTAATTTTTGTTATTACCTCAATAATGCGACCACATTCGCCGAGGAATTTTCTAATGAAATAACTTTCGTTAATTTCAGCGGGTCATGCGATCATACCAATACGTGTTTCACTTTTATATTTATGTCAAGGCATGCAGCAAAAAATAATCAAAAGGTGAAAAAGGACGATGGGCGCATAGCTATGCAAATGTTCAGATTGTTGGCGTAAACACGATCTTTGGCATATCCCCACAAAAAGAAATCTAGCGGTGTGAAATCGCAGGATCTTGCGGGCCAATTGACATCACTCAATCTCGAAATTACTCGTCCTGGAAATTTCACTTGCAATAGGGCTCTAACTGCCAGTGTTGTGTGACTCGTTGCCCCATCCTGCTGGAACCACATATCTTCCAGGTCTCATTCTTCAATTTTTCTCCAAAAATAATCGGTTATCATGCGTCCATAGCGCTCAGAATTGACTGTTATGGCTCTTCCTTGATCGCTTCAAAAAATCCAAAAAATACGGACCAATAAAACCACCGTATGGGTCCGGTCACTTTTTCAGGATGCAAAAGCCTTTCTACGATCATCTGAGATTTTGAGAGCCCCATATACGGCTGTTCTGTTTATTCACGTAACCACCTAGCAAAAAATGAGCCTCATCGATGAAGAAAATTCGGTTTTGAAAAATCATCATCAACGGCTTGTTGTTCAGTCACCCAATTTGCGTATGTTCTGCGTTACCCATGAGGGTTAAGTTCTTGAGTCAGTTGGACTTTGTACGGATGGAGCTTCGAATCTAATTGCAAAATTCGCCACAATGAGCCGTAAGACAAGCACAAATGTTGAGCACGTCGGGGAATCGACGAATTCGGGTCTTCCTCCACACTTTGAGCAACAGCGATAATTTCAGCTGAACGAATGTTGCGATGATGCACAGGCCTTCCAATATCAGTAACCGATCCTCAAATTTCAGTCTTTTCAAATTTTTGCACTATGTTCGAAATTGTTTGCTCTGTGGGTCGATTATGTCGATCTGTCGATCTGTGATTATGTCGAGCAGAATCACCATTTTTATAATAACATTTAATAATTTGCACTCGTTCTTCGACAGTTAAACGATCCATATTCCAAAATGGGAAACATTCAACTAAAACAAAAACGCTTCGGATGACGTTTACCTTTCACATTTATCAAATAGCAAGGTTTTACTTTCCCAACCTCGAATTGCATAACCCGTTATAAAAATGAATTATTACATCGTTGTACGGAAGGGCAACCAACTTGTTGTTTGATTTTTAAGAAAGAAAAATGCCATCTTGTGCGGGTGTGCATGATGGCAAACCTTCAACTAAAACAATAATGCTTCGGATGACAGATATCAAATAGCAAGGTTTTAAGGCCCATTTAAAAACTTAACGTTTGCGTCTGCCGTTACCGTTTGCGTCCAAATTGAAATATTGGAACACCTAACTGTTGGGAAATGAGTAAATAAGATCTATTTGTCTCTCCTGCCAACCACGTAAGTTAGTCTAGGGGGCAATGTGACAATTAGTTTTTTATTTTAAGTTGTATTTGTTTCTAGTAACTAAGGTAATTGAGAAAGCAAACAAGTCGTGTGTAGAAAAATAACGTTCTGAGCAATA